TTGTCCAGGGCCGGGAGGGGAGGGGAGGCCAACTGTGGAGGCCGGGCCCAGACGCAGCTCCTGGGGAGAGGTTGGCTTCTGCAGGAAAACACACACTGCTCAGGGCCAGGAAGGGAGGGGAGGCCAACTGTGGAGGCCGCCAAGCAGGTTAGAGACTGAAGCTGGAAACTGGGTAGCCACCCAAACTGCAGATATGAAAACTGAGGCAAGAAACTTCACACTTAGAGGCAGGGACTCCGACCACTTTCCGCACAGGTGGAGAATGCAGACCACAGTCCCATCTGTCTGAATTAAGGAGTGAGGGACCAGAACCAGGAGGTCCTGATGAGGTCAGGCTTAGCAAACGCTCTTGCTTCTATAAACCAGAGTGCAGAAGCTGACTGTGTGATGTGTGCCGTAAAACCCATCTATCAGCGGCTCCTCACTGTGCTCTGTCAAGTACAACGTGCTTACAGTGAAGGGCCATTTCCACGTGAGGGGGGAACAGACATCTGTGGCATCCTGTGCCAAGTGTGCTGAAAGGCTTAGCATGTTGGACAGTGCCCAAGAGCAAAATTTCCCTTCTTGGCCCCAAGCTACAGTAGTTCAAGAAATGAGATCGTCAGATGTGATGAACTTGGGATCTCATTGCTGCTGAGTTACTAAAATTTAAAGATCTGGGTGGCAATTTTCATAGCTTTCAACAAAGATCATGAATGTACAAGTGCTTGATGTCCATATGATGACAGTCTTAGGTTAAACAACATAATTCTCTCCTCTGATACAGAAGTCGATTTCCAAAGCGTAACTAGTGAGAACCAGAGTGAAATGTAACAGACAAAACTTGTTTCGTAAATTTCCTAAGTTATACATTTGATGAGGTTATTTGCTGGCTCCAAACCTTTCAAATGCTTCCCCTAAATAACACAAAATAAAATCCAAACCACGTGGCATAACACATAAGGCCCTTCAGCCTCTGAGTCTGGGACCCTGGAATACCTCCAAGCAAAACCTCCTTTTCAGTCATGCCAGCTGCTTCCAGTTGCTAATCTCCCTCTTTTTATTTTATTTTATTTTTTAAAATTCTTTATTAAATCATAACTGTGTACATTAATGCATTTATGGGGTACGATGTGCTGAGTCGATATACAACGTGGAACGCTTACATCTAACCTAACAAGTCAGCAAGGAGTCGGTGATGTTAATCTCTTTCTTCTCACTGTTCCTTTTCCCTGAAATAACCATCCCAGCTCTCTGCCACATACAGAGACTCACCGAACTGAACTGGCGTCAAATTTGCAAAATAGGTTGTTTTTTTTAAATTTAGATTTTAAAAGTTAACTATGATAGAAATACCAAAAGATCTGAATTATGGTTTGTCCGTATTTTGAACAAATCAGCTCATATGCTCCCTCATAAGAGCAGTGCAAGCATGTTGTAGTATAAAGGTGGATAAGTTCAGAGTTGAGGTAGCTTCGAAAGGTCACGCAGCCAAACCATGATTTAAAGCTGTGACTCTCACACACCCTTCTATCTCAACTCATGACACTGATTATGGGTAGAGAATATTATAGCAAGATAAGCTGTGATTGCCTTCATGTCTAAACTGAGCTGCGATTTGTGCATGCAACTCTAAAATAGAATTCTAGATGAAATAAGTTGTTCTTCTGACTTATTCGTAGGAGACAATGGTTTTTTTTAAATTTTATTCTCTTATCAGGTCTGATAAAGCAGAGTTTTTGAAACATGATTTTTTTAAGGTATTCAACTCAAGGTGGAGAGAATGGCTCTTTGGAGGACACGGGGACAATGGAACGAATTCTAAAAGTTGAGGAGAGGACTGAGTGGAGAGGAAGAACAAGGGGCTGTGCGGGGTGGGCTCCCAGCTGTTATGCCACTGGGCAGCAAAGGGTGTTTGGTGCCCACATCTTCACTCTTCCATTTCACAGTTCATTTTTTAACTCTATTCTAATTAATATGAGGGTACAATTTTTAGGCTACATTGACCTCCCTTCCAGGGTAAAGTTCCATTTATAGAAGAGCCCCTCACTCAGGGGGTGTGTTATATACCCTCACAATGTGCACATGAGGTGAGATCCCGCCTCCTGCCTGCCCTCCTCCTTCCCTCCTCCTGCCCTCCTCCTGTCCTCCTCCTGCCCTCCTCCTGCCTGCCCTCCTCCTTCCCTCCTCCTATCCTCCTCCTGCCCTCCTCCTGCCTGCCCTCCTCCTGCCCTCCTC